AACCCAGAGATAAGCCACAAATCAATGCACTCATAGACTCGACACTCACACAGATATTCACGACTAATAATTAATGTGATTTTGAGTGAGAAAAACACAATTAATAGGGAAATAGCTAGCGATCAGTGGCTATCATAAATCATTGGCTGAGTTATGCGTCAGTGGTGTAGAGGTATAGGCGAAGGGATAGGCGTTTTGCACACATTGTGTTCACCACTTGTGACGAGCACTGCATTCACCACTCGCTCCCCAAAGCAGTCAATACTGGCATTCAGTTCCCTATTAGCCTCAGTACGTACGGTGACCACCAAAATGGCATTACCCCGAGTCTTCTTCGACATGACCGCCGATGGACAGCCCGTCGGACGCATCATTATGGAGGTTAGTGTCTTAGTGTCACCCCATTAGGTCCCATTAGGTCCCATACACCCTGTGCTGACCTTCGAGTTGTAGGAAATTTTCCACTAAATTGCCGGCAATTGAGTGCTTGAACGGCGTGTTTGCCATACACTACACTACAGTACAGTCTGTTTGTAGACTTTGTAGACATTGTGCCTCCGTTTGCATGCGTTATATCTACAATGATTGTCTCAAAATGTCTTTAATTTCTTTGTTTGCCACCACTATTGCCACAATTATTTGCTTTGAATTTTAATGACTTATCGATTGTTTGTGTTTTAGGCATAAATTTATTGATTATTCATTTGTATTGAATCTTAAATGTTTAGCAAGAGTTACATTACATTCATATGCAGTCGTGTATTACACGCAAAGCTACCGGTGCTCTGAAAAAGTACCGGTAGAGTAGATAGCAGTTGCATAATAGGTCTGTAAAGGCGTTGATAATTGTAGAGATAATGTGGTGGCAGTAGTGGCACCACTCGCACGACACAGTGGTCTATGAGTTGATATTAATGTCTTTCTATGTGTTGTTTTGGTGACCAATAGCTGCGATCAGATGTGGCCCCGAAGACGGCGGAGAACTTCCGGGCGTTGTGTACGGGAGAGAAGGGGTTCGGCTTCCAGGGGTCGACCTTCCATCGGGTGATCCCTAACTTCATGTGTCAGGGCGGGGACTTCACCAATCATAACGGCACGGGAGGGAAGTCCATCTATGGCGCCAAGTTTGCCGACGAGAACTTCACTCTGAAGCACACCGGACCCGGCATTCTCTCGATGGCCAACGCAGGTATGTCTGGTGGTGATGATTATGACTGTGGCAGTGGTTGTAATGTCTCTATGGCTGTCCATTAGGTCCCAACACCAATGGCTCGCAGTTCTTCCTGACGACAGTGAAGACCTCATGGCTGGACGGCAAGCACGTGGTGTTTGGAGCGGTGGTTGAGGGCATGGATATCGTTAAGAAGATCGAGTCCTACGGCTCCCAAAGCGGCAAAACGAGCAAAAAGATTGCGGTCGACAAGTCCGGCCAACTCTAAGCCCAGACCACATCCGTATGAATGAGCGCCTATACCACTACCAATCCATTCACAATCCAATCCATACTTCTATCCGACGTCTATAACGATATCTTTTAACTGATTATTGCTTCTCGTGTTGCGGACCATCAGAATCATGGCTGAAGTGGTGAACCAATTGAATTGATTTGTGATTTTGTTTACAATTAATTGATTGTGTTTTTACTATTTTATTAATGATTTCTATTATCTATTTTTTCTTTACTTTTCAATTGATGTAATAGTTTGTGAGAAAACTTTTTGCTCATTCATTACGAGTTTAAATAAACTGTTTTAAAAAATGATGGCTTTTTGTGTTTATTTATACTGTAATAATACAGTTATTAATGGATTTTAAAATATATTTATTGAGGTTTTGTATGGAAGAGACCTTTCAATGGTTTATAAATTTTATTCAATTTATAATTGAATACGAAATAAGGTTTTAGTTTTTTTCAATAACGTATTGTAGAGGTATTTGATGAGCAAATAGTGTGTCAGTACCTGTACGGTAACACTAACAGTGTGTTTGGTTCAATGCCTGTATACCTGCCTGAGCCCCACACACATGTACAGCATCTGGTGGTGGGGGATGTGGTGACAAACAGTACAGTAGTGGCGGTTATAGAGTGGAGCGCATGGCTGTTGGCAAAGGCGACTGACATTGACTTACTTACGCCGAGTGCCTGTACTGTGAATGTGAGTCAACTCTAAAACAAATATATCCACAAAATATAAACCCATAAAACGTATGAAAATCTATGAGAAAATCACTCAATATGTCTATCAATGGCTATGAAATGACTGGTTATTACACTATAGGACTGTAATGTGATTACAATCTAATTGTTATTATTAATTGTATTTATGTTTGAAATTTAAATCAATTGTAACTTATATTTATTGCAACACTTAATGCTATGTTTTGTGCAGCATTTCAAACTAACCGTAAACTCAATTCACTATTATTTATAAATTTAAACAAATTGTGAAATTTATTTTGTGTTCAAAGTTTTGTCAATTCATTGAATTCATAATAATTACTGTAAATGTGTTTCAATATAATCACAAATCCATTGATTTAAATGTAATATATTTCTCGTATTTATAACTCAAAAGTCATTACATTTAGCATTATTTGTCTCAAAATAGTCACTCATTTGTTGTTTGTTTTGTTTGTTTTCACAGTTTATTGACATTTAGTACCCATTGATTGGATCAGACAATCGGTGATAATGTACTTCGAGTTCGAGTCCACGTCGTCCACCACCGAGTCGTCGCCAATGATGTCTTCACCGCCGACGAGTCCACTGATGGGCCCGTCCGGTGGTCTCACGCGAAGACACCGCCGACTGTCGAGTTCGTCGCAATCGCTTCGGGATCTGATAGACGCCGAGAATGTCTTGGAGAACATCACACCATCTCATTGTGACCTCTATCTCATCACTCGCAAGAAGTTGTCGCAAATGAGCGCCAATCAGATCAAACAGAGCCACGACTTGCGGCGCGAAGTGCTGCTCACATCCATCCACCGCACCATCACATCCAAGTCGCCGCCCAATCACTCCTCCACTCAAAGCCATTCCTCGTTCAACGAGTTGTCCATCGCGTCCTCCACTGCCGACACACCGATGTCCACAACCAGCGCATCGCCTCAGGCAGCCCTCAGAGACGATCAGTCGCTGCTCAACGACTCGACACACTTCGGCCCTTCAGTACAACAAATGTCCGCTAATTGTGACCAAATGTCCGCTAATTGTGACCAACAATTCAAATGTAATTCAATTCACATTTTTGTCTACATTTTAGTCTTTAATCTATTTTTCCGAAACAACTCTTTGATTAGAAGTTATGAAAGTGTTTGTGTTGTGAATGTCTTCAGGAAATGAGTTTCTCGTCTCAAAAGTAGTCTTACATTTAGTTTTGGGATCTATTTGTTTGTTTACAATAAATAGGTTTTTAGTATTGTTTTACCGGTAATAGTGTCTCGAAATGTACAGTACTTTTAAAATAATTTTAATAGAGATTTATTGTGTAATCGATAAAATGATAATCTTTTAGTCATTGGATTTAATTCAAAGAAATGACTGTTTTCTGCCATTATCTCTAAATATCATTAAGTTTGCTGATAATATACACTGTATTTCACTTTTATTAGTTTTTTGTGAGTTTAATGTCACTTAAAGAGATTATTTCAATAATTATTTCCTAATGTCTTGTTTTTTATTATAAATTATATATTTTTATAGATTAATAATAAATATGTTTTTCTGTGTGTTTAGTCGGTTCCCATTCGGGCACCACATCTACATCGACCACAACGATGGCAAACATGACGAGTAGTGTCACCCGAATGACTACCACATCCAACACGACGTCCACGCCATCAGTCATTAAGAAGCGAAATCTGTCGCCAAATCCTGTTCCCAGCGGTGACTACGAGGAAGAGTGGAAGACAACGATAAAGCGTCTGAAAGTAGTTCATGGCGTAGACGTCAATGCCTTCGACGTGTCCATGGACTCCGAGTTTGATTCCGGTTATTGTGATACCCTCGACGACTTAACCAATAACTTTCATAGCCTTAAGACTCCTTTCACTTGAAATTAAGGTTAAGTTTATTGAAATGACGTTCAGATTAACAAAAACACACTTTTGAATACAATTGATTACAATTGAATGCCTTTCATCGAGTCTTTTTTGATACAATATATTCATTGTTTTTACTCAAATATATATTAATTATAATTATAATTAGATAATTAATGACAAAACATATATATATTCAAAATATATTATAATTTGTAAAATATGAGATTTATTTCTGATTATTGAATGCATTATATTTACTACGATAATAACACTTTAAAAGTAAACTTTACATAAACTTAAGAAATTGATTAACACAAATACTTATTGGCATCATTTTTGTATTTTTACATCAAATTGTAATTATTTTTCGCAACCAATGGTCACATCTCTATTGACTATTTTTGTAAAATATTTAAAACTTATTTTGAATTTTCTGTATATTTAATACAAAGTATTAAATGCGTTTACAAAACACACATTGATTTTATGCATTATCTGTGATCGCCGACGCTTTTTATCGATTGAAAACATTTAATTAGAGTTACTATCGATTAGCGAAACAGTTGTTTCATAGGAGAAAAAGTATTGGTAATAAAATGAGATGAATGACGATTATGTCTCTAACAGTATGCTCACCAATGTTACACGAGTTAATTTATGTGTATAAGTTAGTAATACCGTACTAACTTACGAGTTAGTATTACTAACTTAATGTTTAGTATACATATTATGTATTACATAAGTTTATTCATAAGAATTTATTCAAAGAATTTATAACTTTAACAATTTTTAAACAATTGTGTTGTACAACCAAAAGGTGGCACAATTGGCATAGTGTTAGTGATTCTTGACTTTTTACTAGAAATCACAAAACCCATATTCATGTTAAATTATATAAATTCACGTGAAAAATGTATGACAAGTTGTCAAAAAAGTAAGTGCTCTAGTAAAAAGTTGATTATTAATCATCATAATATTATAAAATGCAAGAATTAAATAAATATAAAGGTACAGACAATCATATGATTAGTCTTTAATTTCTATAAATATATTTGATGTTAGAAAATAATTATAGCTATAAATAATTTTAATGGAAAAACCAACAATTAACTTTAATTTCTAAAAATAAATATTTTTAAATCATTTGATTTGATTAAAGGAGTTTTATCTAAAGTTTAATCAGAAATTTCAAGAGAGAGAGAGAGAGAGAGAGAGGGAGGGAGAGAAAGAGAAAGAGAGATTAGTGTAATAGAAACAGAAACTAATATTACGTGTAATAATACATTATTTAATTAAAATGAGTTAAATTTGGTATAAAATACATTAAAACATTGAAATACGTAATTCAATTATTAATTCATTGAATCAAATCATAGGTTTTCAATTTAATATTTAATTATCACGTTTTGCTTCACATTAAATTATTTGGAAAATTTAATTTAATTAAAAAATCAAAGAAAGTTTGTGGTGTATGCCATACAATAAAATGTGATTAACTTATAAACCACATATGACACATATAATGGAAATTATAAATTATGCTAGTAATAATTTACACAAATTTATTCATGAAATTAATTTATTAGAAGTTTATCTCTCTTAAAAGCTTTGCAACAATTTTCATACTGTTATATAAATGTTAGACAAAGCATTAAATAAAGTATTTTATACATTAGGTGTGTCTCTAATATTGAACATAAGTTAGTATTCACTGTAAGAATCCTTATTTATATCAATAAATTTGATGAGTTATTGAAGTGTATTCTTATCTCCAATTCACCAGAATTTCAATGTATGTTAACCCAAAAAATAAACTAAATTCCGATTCCCCTTGTAATCAGTTTTGATGCGAAATTTATACGACATTTGCCAAACATTTCGCTATTATATTCCAAGAGTACACTAATGTCTGCTTTATTATAATATGTTCACTGAATTCACTAAAAAAATAATCTTATTTTGAAAAATATACAGAAAATAGAGTTTTAGTTTGAATTATTTATCCATAAAATCGAATTAAAGTTTTAGTGAATTGAATAACAAATCTGTAAAAAACATGTAATTTTTTCGTCTAAAGAATATACAATATTTAACTCAATAGTTAACTCAAAAGCAACAAAAAAGGATTATTTTTCTAAAATAATAGGTAAATAAAATAAGTATTGCGTTTAATTTATCAATTATTTAAGGATTGTTATTAAGCCAAATAAAAGAATATGATGTTAATAAATAATATAATATTTTATATGATATAATAGCTTATATAAAAATCAACTCAATCACTGAAGTGTATTTATGGAAGTTTATAGTGTGATCAAATATAAAAATGTTTCAAATCTAAAACTACATGTATACTTAAATTTTATTAGATTATGATGCTTTTAAATATAGATTTTCATATAAATATCACTGAAATCATATAATATTTTCAAAATATTTTCAAAATATTTAATATATTATAAATATAACTATTATTAAAGATATCCAGAAACTTTTATAACATGTTTTGATACTTTACTATTTAAAATTGCAATTTATAAATCAAGCCTTGGAGTGATTTACGAAAAGTCAACGACTATTAAGATTTAGATTTTTCTTCAATTTTCGTTTTCTTTGATTCCTTTCTGCACTTTATTTGATGCCTATATTCCGGAGTTGAGAGTTAATTGAAGACATCTCAGCCTCGCATGTGATGTCATATATTAGTCTCGATATGAATATTCATAAATCCTTTCTCTCTTTCATAACTGAAAATAATAACATAAAATTGCATTCATTTGTGACTCAATTTAATTGTAGTGATATAAGAGTTTTAAGAGTTTTATGTCTGATATGCTGACAAAGAAATAGAAATTTATATATAAATTGTTATCAAATAAATAAATCATGACTAAAAATGACTTAAAACTTACGGTTTTATTATTTAAATTTAAATAACAATTCTTATCATAATTCCCTTTTCCCTCTAAAGAATTGCCTACATATTTGGCAAATAATTTTATACTTTAAGGGATTTATTTGATTGAATTCATAATTCTTTCTTAAGATTGCTATTCATTTCAAGTGATTGAATGAAAATTTTATTTAAACTTAAAAATTTGTTTTTACTATTTTCCTTTTGTGTCAAAATAAAATATTTTATGTAAGATTTGCTGAATCTATCTTTAGTTCATTGAGAATTAGATTATATTATTGATTTTTGACTAAAACTTAAAACTAGGAAACAAAAATAAATTTATATTGGATTTCCATTAACAATATTCTCGGTTAAAATAATTTAAATATTCTTAAAATACAATTTTCAAAAACTTTTAATTATATACTTAGACTTAAGTACTAATTTTAATAAATAAATAATATTTAACAATAATATACAAAATTAACTTATGAAATATAAGAAAAATAACAAAGTATCATAACTTTATTTGAATGTCTATCTACAAGTTACATTTTTATTATAATATCTAAAAACATAAAATATTTATATTAAAAATTCATTCTTACTTTTTATATGTTAGCGGAGAAAGTTATAAAAATTATAATACACTGTATTATTAGACACAAAAAGTTGCATAACTTAATAGTTAGAGTAACACAAAAGGCATAAAGAAAATAATAATACGATTTGGTCGTCAGAAGTAATCAAAAGAAAGATATGAGAAATTCACTGCAAAATACATACAGAGAGTTGATTCACCGAAAAGATCAGACATTAGTGTCTGTAAAGTGTAATATAGAAAATGTATGCAAAGAGTGGATGTAATAACGAACTAATATTGCTTTTTGTAAGTGATTTATTGTCAGAGCCTATGATTTTGTTGACGATATCATATCTGGGAAGAGAAATGTGCACAAAAATAGGCATAAAGTCGTGTTTGAGATGATGTTATAAATGTTATAAAACTGTTATTCTTCTAACTTTAATCACTAACTGTAATAACATTACGTTTTCATGGCCTCTACGCAAACATATTGTTTCTAACATTTATTTTACATGTAGTCTTCATTTTTAATGTTTAAGTTAACCAAAAATTCAATTATTAACTAATCTTATTATAATAATAATACGCTTTTAAATTAGTATTAGCGTTATTTTGTCTAAAAGTTACTCATTAATGAAATTAAATATTTATTTCTTTGTTAGAAACTTCTTGATATATTCGAGACAATTTTTCATTTAAAATTAAAATTAAGGTTTCAATTTACATATTATTTTAAATGAAAATTACCACTAAAATAAAAAATGATAAAACTAAATATATACTGTACATTACTGTATGACTTTGTGGAGTAATTTTAAAATTGTTTATGAATTTCAAAATAAATTGAAAATATTAATGTTACATAAAATAAAAAATGAAAATATAATAAAAGAAAATAATAAAAGTTATAATAAATATTAATATTAATAATAAATCGATATTATCAATAAATGGAGTCCATATAATAAAACAGAAAATAAATGTAAATTATTAAAAATATTAGAGGTAAACATAAAACAGTATTTTTAAAAACTAAAAGCTAAGAGTGGTTTGAGATCCAATCAAAAGAGGCTGTCCTTACAGTTAAGACACTATATGAAGAAGTGAATGGAGTGGTAGAGGAGTGCGAGGATAGTGTGTGAGAGATAGTGAGAGATAGTGAGTGAGACTACATGTAGTGTTATATACCATACCTT